GGAGGAGGAGGAGGAGGAGGAGGAGGAGGAGTAATGGTAAATGGACTGATTCTTATAGAGCGCTCTCTGCCGGAGTCCTCAAAGCGCTCTATACAACACGCCACATGCACCCAATCTAACCAACGTTCACACTCCAATGGACGCAGCTTGGGGTCAGTATCTTGCCCGAGGATATTTGGCATGCAGACTGGGGGAAGCCAAGGATCGAACCACCGACCTTCCAGTCAGTAGCTGATCTGCTCTACCATCCACTACAGCCAGCCCAGTCTGAGCATGCTCAGTGAGGAGGATCATGTAACGTGTGCTGGAGGATTTCTGAGCCGTGGTCAGGCTCTTGTGGAGTCTCTGCAGGCTGAATCTCTTCTCCTCCTCCTCCTCTTATCAGCTTCGCCTCCTCGTCGCCTCCTCTGTCCTTCAAAAGTAAATTAGAGCTCCTCTGTCCTTCTCTCGCTCTCTTTGGTCGGGTACAGCAAAGAGCGATCAAACACGCCATCATTAAACTCCCTGTTCCCGCCATTAAACAGCTGCAGGTGTTTGTATTCATCGCATCACCATTAAATGCTCCTTTTCATCTTTAACTTAATAATTAGGGGAAGGCCCCGCCATGGGTCTGTTTCTCATTCTAATGTTAATATTTTATACCACAGAGTAATATTAGCATACAGCACACACACATTAGCATTAATCACGTTATTATGGCTGTTTTTGTTTCAGGCCATGATTATTTTTTTAAAGCAGGAAGTGAAACCATTGTGTTTTTGATGGTTGCGCTGTGGGTGGATACAGGTAATGGAGAAAGACTCCACATCAGAGCCTGATTGGCTGTAGATACCTGCTGGTACTGGCCTGACTCAGACACACTTGTGTGGGTGTTAGGGCTGGGCCATATCATACCGCTCACGGTAACACCGGTATAACGTTGGGCAACAATAAGAAAATGAAACATGGCGATAGAATATGGGTAAAACGTGCATGTGCAGTGCCTTTGTTTACATACGCACATGGCGGCGATGGAGAATGAGGAGAGTGAAAGCAAATCGTTGAATGAAACGATGAACCTGAACTGGTTTGTAAAAATGCTGCAGCTTCACTGGTGTGGAACTGGTTTAGCTTTCGTCCGTCCGTCAGACACACAACAAAGCACTATTTTTGGTAGCGCATGCTAGCGGGCCGTCGTTATTACCGTGTTGTTTGGAAAATACGGCGCACTTAAAATCAATCCTTAGATTTTTCTGAAAGTCGACAGAGCCCCTTATAACCCCGTGTGCCTTATGTATGAACTCTGGTCGTGTTACTGACCTCGAAACGATTTTATGTGCACGGCGCTCGAAAATCTGTCAGATGTTTCAGTACGACTTTGCTGAGCTACGAAGCCGCACCGCTTGATGGATTGTCGGAACATTACGGCTATCGTAGGCGGAGCCTCGCGGAGTGATACGTACTGTGCTTCAACATAATGTTACCGTGTTGTGTGTGTTTAACCTCTTTTTAAGGTTTGTGGATATTATACATGGTTATGCTGAGGATGTGTCGGCCAGTTTCCACTGGAAATGCCTTTTGGTTAAACTGTCAGTGAGGAGTTTGCATTTGCACTGTTACATTTTTATATAAGTTTAATGCACATAAAAAACAGCTGCTTGTTTAAGTGAAGATACATTGATTTGGTTTTTTTGCACTAATAAAGTTGTGGAGTTGTAAAGCATTTTGTCTCGTGTCAGTTATATCGTTATCGCAGATTTTCAAATGTATATGGTGATAAATAATTTTGGTCGTATCGCGCTGCTCTAGTGGGTGTCGATATGCAAAGATCAGAAAACTTTTTATACAGAAGAGGAAGCAAAAAGAAAAATGCTGTGTTGTTATAGCACAGTTTGTCCAGCAGGGCGGCGCTGGCCTCACTGTTTCACAAACTAGCATTCATCTGAGAACATTTCGCCGTCCAGCAACAACCACGTGACCGAGCCCTCTGTCGTCAAGCGTGAATATTCATGTTCCCTCCAGAATGCCTTTCACCTCACTTCAGTAAACATACTTGCATGCCCAGGTATTCCCCCAGGCTCATGTCTCTCACCTGGACTCCGGGAACTTGGTGAGCGTCGCCAGGCTGCTGGTGTACATGTGCCCGCCCACGTCGATGTGGACAGGGGCGTTGGCCTTGGTGAGCTGGGCGGGCGACGGGATACCTTGGGTTGTCATGGGCGACACAGGTGAGTGGCTCAGAGACATCCTGGACAAGCTCCGTCCCTCCTATCACAAATAACAGCAGGTCAAAATTCAGAACACACCGGTTTTATTTTGAAGAGGCTTCACCTGGATTTACCCTGGCTCCGCCCCTTCAAATCCTGACCTGTGGGTCAAGTTAAAACCCTACTCCAAGCTCGCGAGGCCAAAAACGCTCAGCTCGAACTGCATAGAGCGACGAACCAAGAGGTGAAGTAAGGTGGCAGCTTCCATCTTTTATGTACAGCCTGTGGGCAGTACCCCTACACCAGTGTTTCCCAATCACTGGGGCGCGGGACATAGGTGTGCCGTGAGAAATGATCAGGTGAGCCGTGGAAGATTATCTGGTTCCACCTGATTAGTACTCTAAGCAACCAGCGTGAGTAACGGGCAGAACAATGGCATTCTCTTCCACTAGAGGGCAGTACAACTACCTGCTCTAATTCAATGGGTCGCCAACTGCCAGTAAAAAAGAAGACAAAGAAATGACATAATAGTCATGCTGTGAGACGACGCAGCGCGTAACAGCAATAGATAAGTAATTGCAAAGGAAAAGTAGTCAGTGTGACCTGGTCCTGGAGGAAACTCCGACCCAGGTGAAGCCCCAGCATGAGCAGTGGTCAGAAGGAAGCAAAAAAGGTAAACTGGGGACAAACCGAGTCAATTCTGCGCTGCCTGGAGTGCGGGGGAAATGATCAATGTGCTTTTTGTGACATTTTTGTTTGGGGGTGTGCCGTGGCTCCAAAAGGTTGGGAAACACTGCCCTACACGACCAGCAGGGGATTCGCTGCGTGTTAAACCTATGCCTAGTTTTCTTCTGCTGCTGCTGTTTACTGAGCCAGCTGGAAGACGAACAGCGCCAACTAGTGTTTCTCTGACCTAGGCAGAGTCAAACTGATGGAGGAGGAAGACAAGGACGATGGAGCGCTCTCAGAATAACGGCATCTATAATCTGACCTCTGACCTCGGCTGATGAAGGGGCAGGGGCTCCTCCCCCCTCAAAGCATAAGTTTTGTTACAATTATTTTTATTCTGGTTCAGATAAATTTATAACGAGCCGGGGTGGGAGGTGTCCTGGGGGGTGGCTGCTGCCGCTGAAGAACCTTATCTTCCGCCCCCTGGGCTATGGAGCATGAAAGGTGAACATTGCCTCGGGTCACACCAGCGTAGGGCCCCGCCCCCACCTGCCTGTCTGCAGTGGTGCGTTCAAATATCAGGAAATAACAGACGTGAGATCAGTCTGTGGTTTTCATCAAACCCTGAAATAAAGAATTGACCTGCACGTGAGGCCACGTGTTTGAACTTTAGGGTTCGGAACATCAAGCCCTTCCACTTTCGCACTTAAACCAACATACGCCAGGCTCCTTTAGAAAAACCCAACATTTAACGTATCCTCGCAAATCCAACGAAGCCAGGTGTCTCCTGACCTGTGTGAAGGTCTCCTCTCCACACTGTGCGGGCTTCTGGTGAAATCTGGATACGAACCCTCACCGACCCCTCTGATAATTCTGGAGAGCCTTATCTTTAACCACAAATAACGGAGATAACGTCCGTCCACAGCGGCGGAGCAACCGTTAAAGGATGGCCAGAAAGCAGACGCGCTACCGGCAAAGGTTCCGACTGCGCTGAAACATTCTGTAATGTCAGAATATTTGTTTGTGCCGACGTGAAGAATGTGCTACGAAATCAACGGAAAACACGACGGTGTGTGGTGTGGTGGCTGTTTGTCACCGGCACCCCGGAACACTTAAATCGGACGTTTTTTTAATGGAGTCTGGCGGCGAGAACGGAGCAGCTCGGCGTGTCTTCCCCCGAAACGCGTCTGAATTTCTAGTTTTACGTCATAAACTCGAAAACTTTATAAATGAGCCTCACAGCAGCACCTGTGCCCCCCTCCCGTCCCGCTCACTCACCTGAGAGGAGACCGACACGGAGGACATGGAGGGCGGCGTGAGAGAGAGCTCCGTCCCGGCGGCAGGGCTGCGGTCCCGGAGAAACTGAGGAGGAGCAGAGAGGAGGGCCGACAGAAGAGCACCCGGGGCCCCGCAGACCCCCCGGGGCCAGGTCACAGTCCCGACCCCACCGAGGCAGCGCGCGCACGAAGGTGAGATCCCGCAGGTCCCGCCCCCTCCCGAATGACGCGTCCCATCACGCATTACCCGCCCGCGGCCAAATGCGCCATTTCAATTACTGCGCACTGCTGGATGGAGACGTGCGCCGCCAGCCTGCGCATGCGAAGAGGAGAGCGCGCGCACCCGAAAGCATTTTCAGCTGCAGAGCGCGCGCAACCCCCACCCGCGGTTTATTTTGATTTCTTTTTCATATTCCCACAATGTCCTGTAAATACAAGATGACCCACTAACACTGACGCCACCTTGTGGTACAAACTGGATCGGCACGAAGGAATGACACAGACCTGAAACCAGAATGTTCCCCGAGGACGACGCTCCGCCCTCCCCCTTAAGATCTGATCCACACAGAGCGTGACCTGAGCGCAGCTCACGTTTGTGGATCTGTGAGCCGTTATTGAAGCTAACGATCTGAACTTCATTAACTGTAAAGTTCTGAATTTACTCGGCTTTGGATGAACACATTTGTGAGTCCTCAGACGTTACACACTGATCAGCGCGCACACCTGTAAATCTTTGTTACACCTGGATCATATCGTACTGCTTTGGCTCCGCTTTGAGGCCGTTTATTCCAGACTTCCAAAACTTCATTTTGTTCTTTGAGCCAATCGGAGGGGGACGTGCTGCAGGACCTGATCATTGTCCTGCTGCCTTCAGGGTTTTCTGGTACAGAGCAGAATTCCCTCAGTTACAGCGAGTTGTCCTGAAGCAGCAGAGCAGCACAGACCATCATACCACCGTGTCTGCTGCTGCTGTGATGTTCTCTTTATGAAACGCTGTTAGTTTAAGGAAGATGTGACTCGAACGGCCTGCAGGTCTTTAGATGTCGTCAGCTGAGTGCTCCTGGGAACATGAAGGCAACATGAGCCGACAGTACAAACATGCCGAGTGATCGGCTGTTAGCTCGGTGACAGAGTCACAAATGCATGTCTGCACTTTGATTTTGTTACATACAAACAGACTGACAGCAGCAGTGTGTGTGCACAGAGAGGACCGATGTGTTTGTTTGGTCAATGAAAGGCTTCAGTTAGTTAGAGTGAGTTTATAGTTTTGTTTTATTATAAAACATTTGAAATTTAAGCTGCTGTTTGACATATTTTAGACTGCTTCACTCTGTTGCACAGCTTCTGTTTAAGTGATTTATTCAATTCAGTTTAAATGTTATTAACACAGCGCCAAATCACAACAGCAGTCGCCTCAAGGCGCTTTATATTGTAAGGCAGACCCCACAATAATAGATACAGAGAAAAACTATCATATGACCCCCTATGAGCAGCACTTTGGCGACAGTGGGAAGGAAAAACTCCCTTTTAACAGGAAGAAACCTC